ATATAAAATATATGAAACACCTTTTTCTTATCCTCATTTTTTGCAGTGGTTATTCTTCTCTATGTTTTTTTCTTCACCCACAATCTCTTTCACTTCATCATGCCACCAAGCAATCTTTTCATCCCTTCCCATTAGTGAAAATATACACATTTCTGTGGCATTTGTAACATAATTGTTTTCCATTTGTTCCAAGCAGCCACATCATCTGTCCATGTAACCATTTTCCATTCTTTCTCTGTCTTCCAATTCTTTTTCATACAGTATTCATACTTTTTGAATTCTTTTATTCTAATTTCTGTTACTTGTTTCCTTTTTCCACAAGAGCCATTCTTGATATCACCAGTATCAAGACAGGATGTTGCCTTTTCACATCCAAAACCTTTCATCACCCACATATCCTTCAATCATTCTCTCATTTGTTTCATTGTAGTCAATCAAATCAATCATGTTTTTAGATTCATTCCTTTGCCATGTGTACATATGTGAAACAAGTAGACTTTTTCTGAATAAATGCTCACCAAACTATCACCTTTCTCGTTCTTTCTGGGTCTCTAAATGACTGAGCCACTTCTGTACTTTCTCATCTTGTTCCCAAAACACCCATTTATTTCACCTAACAGAATAATTTCCCCCTCTCCTGATTGTATTTAAATTTTATAATCAAGGTAAAATAGCGCACTTGTGTTGGCCCTTCAAGGTAGGGCAAATCAAGAAACAGACGCTGCAGGGATTCCAGGAATACTACTTTATTGTTGTAGGGCATAATAACAGAATCTTGAAAGCCTACCAAATTTTTCTCTGTCCCATTTTATACTAAACCAAATCAAGGTAGGGTTATTTTCTTTCTCATGCTTCCTTCAATCTCTTGTCCAAGTATCTCCTTAATAGCTTGTTTGTGCCTTCCCAAAGATCTGCTCTAAATTCCTTTACAGCTTGAAACAATGGAAATGGAAGCTTATATAGAATAAGAGATTTTTATAAAGATTTGGTAACCTATGTAAGGAGGAGGTAGAGCCACAATAAGACTATGAAATGTTGTGGCTACTTTGATGTTAGGTAAATTCATTTCTACAAATGAAGAGGGTGATGAGATTTGTTCATTGCTCACTGTCCAATTGTAAGAAAGTAATGATCAACTATTTCATGTAATTCAAAGGAACAGTATTCAAAATTTTATTTACGTTTGTTGAAAATACAGTAGATATAGGTAACCATGCCTCATAGTTATGGATTTTAAAAATGTTTCAGCCCCTTTTGCCTAGGTAACAGTTCTTGCATATTTCCATCAAGGTCATCTTCCTTACTCTCTACACACATATTGCATAAACGCTCAGTAAGATACTGGAGAGATTGTAATCAAAAAATAATGTTCTACCATCTTTGGTGGGAATTTGATTAATTTTCAACATTGTGGAGGGACGTCTTTAACAAAATGATAGCTGTAAACAAAGGATTGAATTCTCACCGAGTTTAGACCTTCTACGTGTATTTAATGGAAGGAATAAAAAGTTATGAAGCAAGAATGTTATTGTCTAACTTCAGCAAAGTTAATCATTTCCCACAATGGAAATATTTGCATAATCTCTTATTCAAAAAATGGTTTGATAAGACTTGGCCAATAGCCCTGCTTGAGAATGTCTCTGATAAAATTTATTTGCTCAAAAAAACAAATACAGAAACCATTATTTTATTGGGACTATCAGGATTATATCTGTTTTATATAAGATAAAATGAATAACCTTCAGGATGTATGGAAAATTTAAATGGCCTGTTTAATGGAAGAATGACTTGTATAGTACTATTTTTAAGAATAAAAAATCCTAAATAAAATGCTTCTTAAAAATAAGAACATTGCAGTTTTCCCCCAAAACTCATCTCTAGCTCTTCTATGATCATTATTCACTAGACCATAACATGGAACTATCTCCATCCTATGGATTTCTACTTTCATATGTATCCACCATAACAATTTAGAATAATGTTTTCTGAAATCCATTTTAGCCATTTTTGTCCATACTGAGCAAATTAACTTTAGGTTAATTAAACCCTAAAGTATAAGTGAGGATAAGAATTAGTGAGTACAAGAAACTTATAGGCCTGGTTCACACATAACCGGACTCTATTTGCATCTTTGTTTTATTTATAAGTATACAAGCTGCAAATGCTGAAAGCAAATTAACAGCAGAACAACTAAGCCTGCCTTAGATCACCACAGAACGACTACACCACAACATGGTTTCATTTTCAACCAGCTCCCAGCTCTTTGTCTACTTAATCCTATGTTCAGAGCTACTATGATAATGTTTTTTCAGGCTATTGAACTAGCTGAAGGTGAGAACCAGTTTGGTGTCGTGGTTAAAGGCACCAGACTAGAAACTGGGAGACCGTGAGATCTAGACCAACCTTAGGCACAAAGTCAGGTGAGTGACTTTGGGACAGTCTCTCTCACTCTCTCTGTCAGCTCTAGGAAGAAGGCAAGGGCAAACCACTTCTGAAAATCTTACCAAGAAAACTTCAGGGACTAGTCCAGGCAGTTGCCAGGAGTCAACAGTGACTTGAACACACACACATACAAGCCCTCCTCCCTCCCAACCTCCCTCCCAACAGGCTGAAGAGTGTGACTTTTCAAGGACACAGAGTGTTTCCAGATTTATAACAAATATTTGCAAGTAATTTGTATCCTCTAAGTATTTCATCTATTTGTGAGCCAATACTATAAGGAGGGGTAGTCAGCCAGCATGCATGACGATATTTTAGAGTTTTGAGTAGGTAGGTGATGTGGAAATTTTATATTTCTGTGTCTTTTATTCTGTTACATTTTATTGCATTTTGTCCTTACAATAAGAAGAAAAAACTCTTTTTTCTTGTTTTGATTTTTCTTGTCATTGCTGAGCTAATTATATTGCTATACTTACTCATGGCCATCTTGGGTTTTAGCAAAGGATGAGCCCACCTTCATATTTTTGTCTCCTTCTTCTTCCTCTACCCTTGAATCTCCCTCCCTGCTTTTTGTTGTTATTCTAATAAATCCTCAACATTACTGGATCCTTCCTCCACCTCTTAAAAGATGGCATCTCCCAGACAGAGCTCAATTAGGATTGGCATTTACCCGACTACAAGCATGCACTGTTGAATTTCTTCCTATTTATACTACTTAGGGCTTGTTAAATGCTGATAACTGAGAAGTACTGTGAATGGTTGTGCCTGGCACTCTCCTTACCTGCTGATAATAGCTCAATATCCTGACCATTTAAGCCCATTGAGATGATCCCTCTGCCATTGTTTCTATAATATCCTCTTTATCGTTTGCACTGTTCTATTGACTTTAAGCTTTCTGTGTATATAAAAGAAATGTATTTAAAACTGTATCCACAAGCTTTAAGGAAGAGAAGGGTGTAACATGGTAAGAGAGACATGCCTGTGTTGCATTTGTCCCAATTCCAGAATTTTAAAATACAGGCCTTTTGCCCTGCCTGCATGTGCTGCTAATTTTCTTAGCAGTCGGTTGGTGGAATAGAAGAGAATGAAGTGTGATAATATGACGTTTCAAATAGAATAATCATAATCCAATGCAAAATACCAATGATTAAGTTAGACCTCCATAATTGAATGTGTTTGGATTAATTTTGAAATGCACTGATTCATGCATATCACTCTGTTTGGGTGGCATTTCAACTGACGGAGACTGCAGAAATATGCTTATGATATTACAATTTTTCAGAAACGTAGTAGCTAGATTTAAGAGCCTTCATGATCTACTATACATTACTTGAGTCTGTGTGTCTTGTCAGTTTGCCACATGCTTCTATAGCACTTTGAGCTGCACATATTGGTGTGCACCATATGTCCTTCACAACATCAGGCACTAGCACATTCATTTCAGTTGGAATATTTTCTGTCCTATGGATAAACAGGCATGTGTTACTTTGTGCATTGTGTTTCATCTCTTTGACAGGCATCCATACTCCCAGCTGCTCTGCCTCTTCCTGTCGACAAGCGTTACTCCCATTTATATTGTCATGCTGTCAGCGTCCCACTGGAGGAGCCTCCGTCAAACCTTGCTGGTGCTCTTCTCAGCCACCCTTCTCATTGGCATAACCATGCTGGCCATCTCCTCTGAAGTCAATCCTATTGGGGTTTTCTTCCTTGTAGCAGGAGGTCTGAGTTTGGTTGGCTACCTCATTAGTGTGGCAGCTGAACAATGGCTGAAGCATCACAATGCAGGAGAAGAGACCCAGGCAGCCCCAAGAGCACAAAGTCAAGATGGGTAAGCACCATACAGTTGGGCTAATTTCCACATATCTTAATCACAAGAGATAAACATTCACTTCTGACAGCAGTTTATGAGAATAGCAGGACTGGCTGATACCAAGGAGGTTTCTAGTTTAGCATCCTGATTCCAGTAATGAGTGCTCAAGAGTTTTGGGAAGTATATAAGCAGAACATGAATGTAGTAACCCTTCATTGTTGTGTATCTCCAGCATCTGGAACTCAGAAAGAATTGGACCAACAATTGCAGATCAGAATATTGCCAGATTGAAAAAATGATGTTAGCCCATGCATGCATGGACTTATTCACTCATTCTGTAGTAAACCCAAACTCAAGGCAGCTAGCCTTTGACGCTGCCAGAGAATTTAATCCATATTTCCACTACCTATCTTTCTCCAGAGGGACTGAGGTTGTATCTCCTAGAATTCCAAGCCAACATGGTTAAGTACAGGCTGACTGGGAATTCTATGTCTTGCAGCTCCAACACATCTGAAGGATAACATATTGGATAAGATTGATCTAATTCTTATGCCAAGCAGTTTTAGGACCCAACAGTCCTACCCTGAGACCATTGCTCAAAACATTACCTTTTCTAGTAACATCCCTCCGACGTGCTATGATCACTTGGAGTGGTGGCCAGAATTAGAGCTTTCTCAGTTGTAGCGTCTCAGTTATGGAACTTGTCCAAAAAAAGTGCAACTAGACTCCCTTGCTGTGTTTTAAATGACAATCCAGCAGGGTAGGTGTGCTTCAGGTCCCTTCCATAGGAAACAATGTCACCTAGCAGGACCCGGGAAGCATGCTTTCTCTGTTGCAGGGCTTGCCCTTTGGAACTGTGTAGTCCCTGAGATCTGGATGGTTCTGACCCTGTTGGCTTTCTATAAGGCCTTGAAAACTTGTTTTTTTCCCTTGGGCGTTGGGCCAAGGTGTTGGATTCTGTAATGGTTTTGGATTGGAGCAGGCTGTGACTTGGTCTCAGTTATGCTGTACTGCAGTGTGTCTAAGCATTTTGTTTGTTATGCTTTTAACCATATGTAAACCACTCAGAGTCGCCATTCATGAGTTGGGTGGCCATATTCAATCAATCATTCAATCAGTCAGAGACCTGCCTGTTCACCCAGGCATTCGGAGAATAACAATTTGTTCCACTACCAGATTGCCTTTTAGATTGCCCAGTATATTACTTTTCTTTTTTAAAGTGAACCTTGTTTAATTGTTGTTTTTACTGCTTTTAAAGATGGTTGGTTTAATTATTATGGCTTTATTTGAGATTTTCCTGGAAACTGCTCTAGGCTCTTCAGGAAAAGTTGTACAGAAATAAAATTAATAATAATTAGAATCATTGTATCATATGTCCAATGGTGCATGAAAGAGGTGATAATCTACTCGAAGAATACTAGATTCCAGTCAGTACTTGTTTTATTTAAGTGATAGTTCTGAAATTGAAATTCATAGCATAATTTTCAGTAAAGGGGAAGATTTTTGCATTCTTGCAGGATAACAATTAAATGGAATGTAGAGTGCAATCATCGGGAATAAGTAGAAATTAGACACAATGACCCCCCTTGCTTGATTATGATTGATTTAGAATCTTGCTTGTTTCTCATTAAAACACAGGTAATCTTGCCTTGTGGAAACAGGAAGCAGTTTAAACTTTCCCCCTATTTTTTATGCAGAGACAACACAGCATATGAAGCACCAACATATGAGGAAGTGGTGGCTACTGGCTACTTGTCAGATTCAGTGCCAACAATTTGGACCATTACATCCAGTCCTGGAATAACCCAAGGAGAACCCCCTCCATATAGTGTGGTTATTGAGCCTCCTGCCCATGGAGAGACTGTGGTGGAGGCATTCAGTGTCTCGGTGGCACCAAGTGCACGGCGGGCCTCTGAAGCAGATCTGCATTCCAAGGTGCGCCTCCGACTGGTCCTACCACCAAGACTAAAACGCTTTGTCTCAGATATTCATGAACTCAAAGGGAGTGAAGAGCGGCTTGAACGACTGGAGCCTCTCACCCCACCTCCTGCCTATGAGAATGTGACTGGTGACGAGGTCTTCGAAGGACAATTTCAGCCTTCAAAACTTTGACTAAAAGGCTGGAGATTGATAAGTAGTGCCACTACTACCACGTCACTTCTCTCAAGCCCATTATTAGCTTGATGTTATAGCCTGGATTACATCTGAAGCCAAGTTTGTTTTCAGGGGCTGGGCTCTCTTTTTATGAAAAATGCATGTGTTACAGGCATGCAGCCGTGTTAGGGCCCCCTTCTTCCTTTGGTGTTTCTTTTGGAAGGTGGGAGAGGTAGAAATGGTTCTTAAACATTTCATTCAATGGTTAGAAATTTCCAAAGCCGTTCATATGTTCTTAGCAGTGAACAGTAGCTTAGGCTGCCTAGGAACTGGAGAACAAAAGACTGGTTGGCATACCTGGAAGAGGCAGATTGTAGTCACAGATTGTCCGTAATTTGCCTCCCAACCTCCCAAAACTGCTCCTTGGATTTAAAGGTAGGCTGAAGGAGTCTTCAGAATGGCGCCTATCCAAACAACTAGCTTACTCCCAAACAAATTGATAGAAATGTAAATACCACTAATACTTATGGAATTTACTTTTCATATAAACAGAAGTCTGGAGAGAGGGAAGAACAAACCAGGAAGACAGCCAGTGAAGTAAAGATTAAAAAAAAGCAGGAAGTTGCTTTTAATTATTTTTACTTAAGCTTCACTGATAAACTAGTCTAGCTTTTAAAAGATCTTCGTGGGAAGATTAAAAACAGCTTATAAAGTACAATACACTGGTGATGATTCACCTTAAAACTTGTTTCTCTTATTTTCTGTGTCATACTTGTCATGATAAGTGTTATCATTCACATTATTCTGCATTTTTCTATCATGAGTAGGCATTTTATCCAAATGTTTATTTCAACATTTCCATTATTTCTGAATGGAAGCTAACTATAACAACCAACAACCTCCTCCTTAACATCAAGTAGGGGCAAGCAGGAGCAAGTAGGGGCTCTGTAATACAAAGAACAGTGCCCTGAGAATACTATATAAGTTGGGGCTGTCCCATTCTCTTCTTTCTTGGAATTTGGCCTGCTTTATGTGAATCACAACATGTATATGCGGAGTATTCCTTGTTATGCAAGATAATAAATATGGATCTCTCTCAGAACCTTAGAATCTCTCACGGTGATAAGAAAATAAGCTTTTATATACAGCAGTTCATACAAGCCAGTGCAATATAGATTTAAACTAATTTAATTAAAATTGGGAAATGATTTACTGTATCAGATCTGTCTTTGGTGAAGGGTGCCAGTAAATCAGAAGTCGCTAATTTTACCTGTAATAGACATAACATAGTAACTGCTCTGAATAAGTATGAAATAAAGTTTTGATGGCGAATTTAGAATCCAAATAAAGCTAAGAGTGCCACTTTAAGATTTTTTAATAGAACAGTTTGAATAATTTCCAGATATGTTCAAGAGGTTCATGTCTGAAAATTAGCCATCAGCTGCTTAAAAGCAGCAGTAACTGACCAATATATGTTCTTTTTATTGCTGACATATTAATTGTTAAGGTGCAGAAGGAAGAATTTGTAAAAATGTTTTTAAAATATGCAAAATTGTAAAATAGAGTATACAAAGTACAAACATATTTACTAGCTTCCTGGATTTTAAAAGCATAAGCCCAGTGCCCCCAAGGAATGCTATAACAAAATAAAACACTTGATCACAGAAAGTCTATGGACTGATCTCTTGCATCCAGAATAACAAACTGCTGGAAGATGCTAGCTGAGTAAGTCTTTTTTTTTCAAGCAATGCACTTTTAGGAATCCCTGGGAACAAACCATCTATATGATACCTGTGTCTGTTAGGCTGAGGGAGGTCAGAAAAGAATAGGGTACTGGAAATGAAATGGAGAACAGAACAGTTCTTTTAAAAGATAGTCCTTTCAAACACACTGATGTTTGAAGATGAAAAGGGTTCAGCCCTAATCTTCTGGTTTGAATGGACTGTTCATGAGTTTCATGTACCTCATAGCACCCTCCTGACCATGCCAAATTCCAGTGGCAAAATGGATGACTTTAACGGCATACTCTGGGGGGCATTTGAGGGATATTTAAAGAACAGTGATAGAAGTGTTTTGCCTTCCAGGTCTCTTCCTTCCATTTCCAACCAAAAACTCCTCTGGAAACAGGCCCCAAAATACAGTCCTGCTCCTTCTGGTAGTTGGCTTCCTGCAGCCTTGTGGAAGTTTGTGAGGCTGATTTCTGTCTCCCAACCTCCCAGAGTTGCTCCTTGGATTTAATGGTAGGCTGAAGGAGTCTTCAGAATGATGCCTATCCAAACAACTAGCTTACTCCCAAACAAATTGATAGAAAAGTAAATACCACTAATATGTATGGAATTTACTTCTGTGTGCCTTTGCTTAGTGTTGCTGCTAACAGTTTTAAAGCACTGCTGAACATACACATGCACTGAACAAATGCATTCTCCGTCAACTCTTCATAGAGTTTTTGTGGGCAAAACCATGTTTGCTTGCATGAGTTTAACTGGATCAGTGGGCAGTTTCAGCTCATTTCATATGAATATAAGAAGTCTTTTGCTGAACCAGTTAAAAGCCAATCCATGCAAGTATTCAGTTTTTGGTAGTGGCCAACTTGATATTTTTGGAAACTCAGAAGATGGGCATTGTATTTTTGGTATACAAGGCTGCAGTCAATGTTTTTCAGGCATGAGATCTATTGGGATGATGCATTCCATCATAATCTCGTTACTCAAATTCATTTTATGAATGCTACTTATTGTCTACTCATGTTGTAGATGCCGAAGAGAGCTTTATGGAATACATTGAAAAGAGTTTCATATACTACAGCAACTGCAAAGTACAATCTTACTGGTAAAAAAATCCCAAGTATTTTCATTGTTGTTGTCCTTGAGTGATGGCCAACCAGCAACAAAGTGGATGGACTCAGTTAGAGTGGTGATGAGTACACGACTGGAAGATCCGAAAGACTAGATTAGGGACAGATTGTCATGGAGAAATCTATCTATATGGTTGCTAAGAGTCAACAACAATGTGATGGCACAGAATCAATCAATTAATCAATCAATCACTGATCATTTAGGTCAGATAGATATCCTTATCAAGTGAAGAAAGCATCTATCAGTAAAAGGTGAGTTGGTCTTCCAGAAATAGTTGAGTTGTCTTTGGTGGTTTGTACAACCAGTGAGCAGCACTTACCAAATGATCAGAATGATAAAAAAGCTGCTATTGGGAGCAAAACTAATTTTTATTTAAATTTAATCCAATTAAAGCACATTTTATCACTGAATAGTGGTAGTAGACAGCTGCATTCATAGAATGGAAGGCTGACAGTCCCAGCCTCCTCTCCCAGAATTCCTCTGGGTGTTCACACCCTGGCCCCATCTTCTGCTTTGGGGTAGCAGCTTGGTAGTTCTGCTGCATCATTCACCTTCCGGGGACACCTCTCTGGTATCCACCCCAAACTTTGGTGTGTGTCTGAGACAGAGCTGTCACAACCTGTGCTGGCTTTGGGGCCATTAAAAAGTAAAAAGGCAAAAAGTGAAATAATTTCAACAGTGCCACCTCCTGGCCTATCTCCTGAATTTGACAAAGCATCGAGCTGATACAGTGCATCAAATGTGGAAACCACAACACTTGCTCTTGATGCTGTTTTTTTCTCAAAATTCTTCTAACTTTTCTTCATGGCAATTATTTTGGACAATCAATATTCTGTGCATTGCCACATGCAATGACTTTCAATAGAAGAGAATGTCTGTAGCTCAGGGTTGGACTGTGGAGTCCTTAGTGCTCTCTGAGCTTGGCTGAACCAAGCTCAGAGAGCACCAAGTACTCCACAGTGACTTTCCAATTTTCACTTCTGAGATGCTATTTGGGGACATTAGCAGAAAGATGTCCAACCAAGCAGTTTTTATTAGGTATTGTGAACACGACTAAGACTTGATCTATACCGAAGGCACTTGTGTGTGTGAAGAATCATATTAGTGGCATTTTCCAAAATCCATTTGTCATTTAATAGTCACATAACAAAGACTCCAGCACCATATCTATAGTGTTTCTAAAGGGAGCACAAGGCATACACCTCATAACTGTCAGAGATAGATGTGCCATGTGTTTTTATCTACTAATACTGTTGACTTGCAAGCTTCAGTTACCACTGCAATCTTCCTTTTAGTCCAATTTTCTATCTGCAAAAATTTGAACTTTCAAGCACCTGCCACACAACACCCCAGCCTTAACAATTGTTGATAAGAAAGACAAAAAAAAGTCTGGATAGTGGACATTGCAATTCTGCTGGAGACAACAGAATAGAAGAGAAAGAACTGAAGAAAATCACAAAATATAAAGACCTGCAAATAGAAGTA